TGAGATACTCCTGTGGAGACAAATCAAAAGATCAGAAGCTAAAGCATTACATATCTTCAAGAACTCCAATAACAATATGAGAAGTGCAACAGTTTACTTTAAAAAGGAAGAAGACATATTAAACTGTTTCAAATTTTCGGTATCCTATTATGATAACAAGCTAAGATGGGCAAACTTAACAAGACACAAATAGATCTAAAAAATAGAAAAGCTACAGATAGTGTAGAGCCAGAAGCTTATAGAAGAAGTAATACAAGAAGCCCCAAAACAAAAAGAAATACGGAACAGGAACAAGAAGTTTTTAGAAGTTTTACTCCAAGTGAAGAAGAAATAACAAGCAATATAGAGTGAACAGGGAAAACTAAATAGACAAGTGCTTACTCTGAGAAAAAAAGAAGAGAAATACGAGAAAACAAAAAGAAAGAAGTCAATCATGAAGTATCTAGCAGTATACTTGTAACCTAAAAACTGATCTCAGGCTCAGAAAATCAAATTGATATATTTGGTATCTCAGAAACTCACCTAAACTTAAAAAAAGCAAAATTCTCCTTCATATCCAAAAATCTTACTGATTACCAAAACTTCTAGGCACCTAGTGATAATCGCCAGGGAGGTGTTGGTATTCTAATCCACAAACAAATAGCAAAATTTATTGGAAAAATTCAAAGCTTCAAAAACTTTATTATTGAAATCGACCTTTATTTCAAAAACAACTATACAAAACTTATCCAAATATATTTTCCAACACAAGAGAAAAAACAACTGCGCAAAGAAGTTATTACTTATCTAACTCCTATTTTACAATCTACTAACTTTAAAACTATAATTATGGGTGATCTAAATAGTACTCCAAACCTCAAACTAGACAGACTACCTCCAAAAAAAATGAATACTCCTGAAAACCAACTCCTCAAAATCCTTAAACACCAAAATTTCTATAATACATTTCGACTCTTCCACCCTACTACTACTAAATTTACATATACCCATAATGATAGTACAAGTAGAATTGACCAAGTATGGACCAACATCCATATCATACTCCTCGACTATGCAGATATTCTACCGAATCCATTCACTACATCAGACCACTTAATAACTACCTTTAAAACAACAATTTTTCTAAACAAACCCACTATACTTCCATATCATACAAGAACTCTATTTATATAGGATAAAACACAACTTGCTCAAATAGAAGCCTACTAACAACAAACAGAACAAAGCCTTAACTACTTTTAGCCAATATCAAGCAATTCAAAAAATTACTTCTAAACTGATAAATACATATCACCTTACTCGAATTCTAACATATTTCTACTTACTCCAACAACCAAAACTCTCCATCACTCAAATTTCTGCTAAATATAGAGATCGATTCTATTCTTAAGCAAAAAAAATTGTCTTTAAAAAATTTAATATACAATTTAATACTACTAAAATAAATAATGATATTCTATTCAATACAATATTTTCTTCCCTAACAAAAAACAAAAATACCAAACAAATATATGCTGATAAACTCAATTCAAATATCAATACAATAACTTCTCATACCTCTTTTTAATAATTCTTTCTGTAGATAACATTAATACAACTACTGCTTTTAAAATAATAATATTCTCTACTTATAATGGGCCATTTCTAGAAGAGAATATAATAAGTGGACAGGTAGACAAGTTTATTTATGTAAAAGACCAATTTTATAATAGCCAGACCCAACATACAGAACAGGCTTTAGACTCTTGTATAACTGTAAGAACTAGGTATACAGTAAGTGACTCTACAGAAGACCTACTTCTCTCTTCAGTTACTAATACTTCATTACATACTGAAGAAAATACCTGTTATAATAATTTTCTACTAATAAATAATCTCCTAATACTTAGCAAAAACAAAACTCTTAATTCTTTTCTTAAATACTTACAAAAACTATCATATACACTTTCATTCAAAATCTCAATTAACGAATCTTAAACAAAAACTTATGTCTATACAAATACAAAAGAATCTCTCCTTTCAAATCATATTCTACTCTCTCCTCAACACTATCATAAATTTTATAATCTACCAATCCAAACAAAAATCAAACAACCACAAATTGACTCAAATATTTTTTGCAAATCTACTAATATTCCTAATATTACTAACTACTAAACAACAAATACTCTCTTTACAGAAAATGAAATACTAATTCACTTACTAAAAATTAATTCTCTAAATACAAATTGCCTATTAAAAAACTACAAACAACAAAGCCTCATAAACTACATACCAGAAAACCAAATTGATATATTTGGCATCTCTGAAACTCACTTAAACCTCAAAGAAGCAAAATTCTCTTCAATATCAAAAAATCTCTCTAATTATCAAAAATTCTGGACACCTAGTGATCATCGTCAGAGTGGTGTTAGAATTTTAATTTATAACCAAATAACAAAATATATTGGAAAAATTCAAAGCTTCAAAAATTTCATCTTCGAAATTGACCTTTATTTTAAAAATAATCATATCAAAATAATTCAAATCTATTTTCCTACACAAGAGAAAAAACAACTATGTAAATAAGTTACTACCTATCTATCTCCCATCTTCCAATCTGCTAACTTCAAAATTATAATCATAGGTGATTTAAATAGTACTCTAAATCCTAAATTAGACAGACTACCTACTAAAAAAACTAGTATACCAGAATACCAACTCCTTAAAACTCTTAAACACTACATCTTCTACAAACTTAAATTCTCTTGAACAACAAATCTCTATTACAGCTTATTCCCATTATGTTTATATATACCTAGTCTATTACAAAAAAAATATTCTCTGTATCTTCTCTCAAATAAAAAGTATTCTCTTCAATCTGAAACTGTTCTTAAAGGTTTTATAGTCCACTCAGAATGTATTAAAAACATTCAAATCAAGCCTTTTCCTCAATTAAAACCTCTAATGCAAACTCAGCAAAATATCTATTATTTTATCAAATTTAGTCTCTTATCTTCTGACCAAAAAAATGCTCTACTCAAATCTTCTTTCTCAAAATTTACTAAAAAACCCTTTCTCAAAAAAGATACTTCAAACAATCTTGACTAGTTTAAAACCTTTCCTATTACTGAAGAGATAGAACAATATACCCAACTCAATACACAAGTCTCATCAAGCTTTTTAACTTTCTAAAACCAAATTTCATCAACTTTATTCTAGGAAAAATCCTTAAACCAGCATCTGGAGAAACTCATGCCTCAAAAAGTAACTTCAAAACCTATTTACTCTTTCTTCAACTCTTCTCACACCACTAGACAACAATAAAACACCTCTACTTACTACAACTATCAGCACTAAGGAAATATTGCCAGAAATAGAAATTGACCTTACTACTCTAACTCAAACCAATCTAACCCAAAATCCAATACCAAATATGAATCTTACAGACCAAACCCCACAAGCAACCCTAAACAATGATATAGAAATCGATATACCAAAAACACCAAATCTCAAAGAAAAAAATACTCTTACCAAACTAAGCTAACCTACTAAAAATAACAACAATTCTTATTCTAAAGCTTTGGCTAAAAACTTACCACAATTCCAAACTATCTCTACTAAACCAAACAAACCTAGAGCAAACCCTGTATTCGACTGGCTTGTAAACTTTCCGATCACAGAGGAAATAAAACCTAACACCAAACTTCAAACTAAACTGTCCTTCAAATTGTTTAACTTTCTTAAAGATAACCTTTCAAACTTCACCTCTGGAACATCATTTAAATATTTTATTCACACAATAGCAGGCCAAAGACCTGAATTTCTAACAAATTTAATCTATCAAGCAAACTCAGATATAAATTCTGATGCAACAATTCACTTCGACCTTCTTGAATCTACTCTAAAAGATCTCTTGGTCAAATTTACAACTATAATATTCACTAAAATGAATTATGAAGAGATCTTTGCATCTCCTATCACAATTCTACCACACAAAATAGAAAATCGCCTCCAAATATGCTTGAATATAGCACGACTACACCTTTATTTAACAAACAACTTCCAATCAATCAACTATACAAAATTCAATGAAGATTTCAAACTCAGACCTAAAAGGTTCAAAATTGATTCTACAATTGAACATACTGACCAAGAACAAGAATACTTCACTATCTCTTCAGATTTAAGATTTAATATCAAACTACTCTTCAATATTCCTAAAACTCTTTTTCTTGACAAATTTAATATCCCATCTCTAAAAAACTCATTTGACAACCTTAGTAGCTAGTTTGAAAAAGTCTTTCCAGCTTACTCTCGCCAATTCAGTACTCCTATCGTTAAACAAAAAACTCTCACATATCTAAAACACCAAATTCGTCAATACTTCATCCTCCACTTAACCAAACTTCTCTTGTATAAAAGTCCTACTTGTAAAAAGACAGCCAAGTAGAGAAGTTATTGTTTAATAAAGACACACCTTAAAACCAGGATCTTAGTGGCAGTAAGATCCTTGGTTCTCGGACCAAATCTTCTACGCTTTCTTTTGAGTGTTGCCTTGTGTCTTTGCGTTACATTATGTTTTAACTTTGAGGGACTCGGTAGCCCCAAATCCACCCCTCACAATAGATATGAATATTAACCAATTAGATTTAATAATCTATATTTATTTAAAAATTAGTGATTATAAAGAGGTTTATTATTAATAAAATTGACTAAAAAAATTAAATTTTATGGTGATAGTGATTATAAACAATTTGTGACTATAAAGAGGTGTATTTCTTATATTTTAAGTCTGTTTCATAATTTTAGGTGCTTATATAGAGGTGTGACTATATAGGGTGTGATTATATAGAGGTCCGACTGTATATGATTATTTGTCTAATATTTTAGATGATTACTACAATCAAGATGAGTCATTTAATCAAATTAAATCATCATTATATAATCGTAATCCAAATAATTCTTTTTCAGATGATTTTGAATCTAAACTTAATTTGGAAAATTCTATTATATCTAATATGTATTATTCAAAAAGTTTCTTAGAAGATTTAAAAACCTATAGAACTCAACTTAAAATTATTGAATTAGATGATAATAATTTGAATAATGATTTATATAATCATTTGAATAATGATTTATATAATTATTTGAATAATGATTTATATGATAAATTAATAGATTCAAGTAATAATATAATAGATTCATATGATAATATAATGAGTTCACAAGAAATTATTATAATTAGTAGTAATTCAGATAGTTAGTCTTATTATTATATAGCTTAAGAAAAAGAAAAATAGCAAGAATCTTCTATAGAGTTACAGCAAATAGCTACAAATTTAACTCGTCTTACATTTGAACAATATAGCAAAATCTATCAAGCTGCTATTTCAAATATTAAAAAAAATCATGAAATTATTAAAAGTATAATAGAAATAAAATATAGAACTAAATGAAATCAGATATATGAATCTGGTAAATTTATAAAAATTCATGTTCCTAATTTTGATAAAGTAAAAATGAATAGAAGATCATTGCCTTGTAAAGTTATTCAAAAAAAACCTAATCAAGATTCATATTAAGTTAATTACAAGTTTAAAATACTTGAAAACTGGTATCCTACAAATGAACTTAAACTATTAGGCATACCTGATTATTCTAACCTTAATATTGTTTCATTAAATAAAATACTATCATTAAGACAAGCAAATATCAAACAAAATGATATATCTATAGTCTAATCTTTAAGCAAAGACAAGCTAATCAAGAATTTGATGAAAGTTCAAATAATATATTAGAGTATAAATTTATTTTTGTTAATACATATTAATTTTAATTTTTATTTATTAACATAAATAGAATTTTTATAGCGATGATCAAAATTTTAATTTTTTTATGCAAAAAATTAAACTTAAGAAAATTCATAACTGTCACTGCTAAAAAACTAGTTGTGAAACACAAACATGCTCTTGCTGAAAGTATAATTTAAAATACTCAAAAAGATATAGCTGCTTTTTATGTAGCTAATATAAGATTAAAAGATAATAGCTATTTGTATTGAAATTTTTTTCAAAAAAAAAAAAAAAGAATTTGTTTACATTTTTCATATAATTACATTATGTTTAGTTAATATTTTTCATAGTTTTCAAATTTAATATATTAGTCATTATTGTTGTTTTTTATAATAATAATGATTTGTAATATATAGTATATATTTTCTAAAGAAATGCTTTGATATTTATATAATAACAATAATGTTTTATTCTAAATGTGTTTTAAAAAAAATACTTTAAAACTTATATTAGTTAAATTCATACTGATACCAATTTCCAAGTACAACATATATTATTCTTGAATTTATAAATAACACATGTCAATCCTTGAATAACAGAAATTAATAAACGATATATAACATATATATATTATTTATTTCTAAATCTAATATGTAAGGAACTCAATCCGTACATCACTTGTACCAAAACCTTACCAAAAAAATTTTTTTACAAAAAATAATTTTCTTCAACTTTTTATTAAATAAACTGAGTAAGTGCCTCTAAGCAAACTTACTCAGCACTAGATTCTACATCTAGACAGCCTAATTTCAAAAATTTTGGCCTTCTCTCTAACAAC